CCCCCCCCGGTCATCGCCCCATTGGAAGACCCACTTTCTCTCCTCGCCCTCACTCCCCCCGTCCCCTTCCAGGAGGCCGCACTGGATCCGCCTATGCAGCTAAATCATTTTGAGCTTACTTGCCCAGTAACTCTAGTGTAGAGCGAGCAAAAGATGGCGCGCAGAAGAAGCAAAGAGCAATGCAGAATCGAGCAGCAAATTGATCTGTGATCTGTCCCGCCCTTTCTGATGAGTACTTAAGCTTATAAATTTGTTGTAAAGTTCAGTTTGTATTCAGTGTTCAGCATCGTCGTCCAGTGTGTTCCGTGTTCATCGTCGGCGTCCGATGTGTTCCGGGTTTGGCGTCCAGTGGTCCATTGCAGCAGTGTGTTGCTGCATTCCAGTAATCAGCACTCTTCGTCTGCAGCAGCTGTCGCTGCAATCGTCCGACTTGATCCCGTCACCCCAACGACTCATTTGTAAACTTGTATTAGTGTCGATAAATTTCGTTTGTTTACTCCAGTCTCTCCACTAAGCGCCACAGCACATCAGCGCTCATCCAAGTCTCGTCCGAAGCTCGTCGTAACAGCATCGCAACGTCGTCATCGTAACACTAGCAACACAGACCATCGACAACTTTAGCAGAAAGAACTTTTGCAAGTTTCCGAAAAGTATAGTGACTCCGGTCGCATGCGAATACTTTCGCCTGCATCACAAAGTGAAATGCAAAGGGGTTTTGACCACAGTAATATTCAGCTAAATGAGAACGACCAGGTTAAAGGCCCCTCTGTACCTAACAGCGGTGTTACCAAACTAGGAAACTTTTATTTCAGTACATCATCAAGATTAATAACAGAAGAAAAAAACTCTACACGAAGCTACAAATTCAAAAAAAAAAAACAAGCACTTTCAGATATGCTTGATACATGGGAGAAGAGAACAAAGGATACAAAATGGCGGATAAATCCCGGAAATGACCTTTGGTTCTCAAAATTCTCAAAAAAAACTCAAAACAGTTCCTGGCAAAAATAGCAAAAAGCTGTCACACTTACTTGACGAACAAATTTTGTAAATTCCTCAACACCCTGTGCGCTGCACAACTCCAGAATACGCCGCTTCTGCGATTCATCGTTTGTGAATTCGGCAAGCACCCGGAGCAGAGGCTAAAAAATTTCACGACAAATAAATCTTTTTGCAACAAATACATATCCACAATAAAAGAAATTTACAGTAAAAGCTAAAAAATGTCCCAAAAAACGAAATGACCTACCCGGCCAGGTGAACGTCTGATATCGAGACAATGCGTGAAAATATATCGGAGAGTGGATGATTCCGGGATATGTGAGGGCACAACGGGATTTCGCCTCGTAGCATCATTTTTCACTGTTACAATACATTTTTGATCAGCCTGTTCCAAAAATCCCATTCTGTAACGATTTATGAAATTCTTTGCAAACTGAAGATTCCATCTAAAGAAAGTCTCCTTTGATAAAACATTTCCCAAGAAGAAAATCCGAGCAACAGGAATAGCGATTATATACTTTCAGAATTTGGGAAGCCGATGACAGATTAAGCGAAAAATGGAAAATAACTCTAAGTCTTCTGCCATAGGAGGGCGGACGGAGAGGAGTGTAGCTGTGGAAGGCAAGCGCCCAAACTAATAAATAAAGCCTTATTATCAAAAAGAAAACAAAAACACACTAATTGAAACCAAAATCAACCCACAGTTGCTGAAGCACTGGCAGTAGCTCCAAGCTGTCGCCATACAATTTTTGTGGCATAGAAACAATCACTACTTCATTTCTAATCACAGCATAACATATCACGGATGGGGGAACTCGAGTCAAGAGACGAGGAATCGAAGGGCAACTGGACAAGGCGAAGGGGCTTAGCCGGCAGCTTCGCTTCCTTGCCGTTAGCGCCTTGTTCCTTTTGCTACACTATATCAACCATTTGAGTACACAAAAATGTCAAAATTCTATCGTAATTAACTCCCTTGTTTAGTGATTTTTAACTTCGCTGATATAAAATTAATGAATGAAGGTCGTTCAGCAGTATAACAAGTATGGAAGGCAGTTTAAAAAGAAATTTGAGGAACATATTTAAACGTGGCCTACCTCTCTCTATAATAAAAATGCAATTCTTTGCCTTCTTTAAAAATGGCTCTCTATGGGTTCTACATAAAAAATTTACCTTTCAAGCAGGAAATCCACTTCTTTCTGAGGGTTTGGTACTGCAAAATAAAATGCATCGCCCGGTTCATAGGCAATTTCGGCATCACTGTCAACCTCGACCACTACTTCCTGCTTCGGTTTTCGAGTTTCCATACTGGTAAGCCTACTGACACCAACAACATGGGCCTGATATTGTTGGCTTGAGACAGCTTCTGCCATCACAAATCCATTTTGCCAGCACAATGTTTCAGCATGCTTAAAGAAAACAGCATTAGGTAACATGAGCAAACAGGAGGCTAGGAAACTTCAACTTCCTACAATTGCTGAGGCCCAACTTACGATCTGATGACCAGTGGGGCCCAATTCCCTGTTTTCTTCCGTTTCTCCAGTGGAAGATACTTGATATACCGCATTACTTCTGACATTATCACTGTCTTTTGTTAGAAACTGCATAAGGAACAATTGCGTCATTATGATGCAATACCTCGGTCTCAGGTTCAACCTTTGGAGATCCTACCCCCATTAAAATTTTGCCGTCTTAATAATCTCTAACCATTGGGGTATAAAAGCACTTCTTCCCATTTTCGAGGCCCAGAGCTAATCCTGAAAGCTAATCCTTACTACTTAGCTTAAGCTCCACAGAACCTCGCCACCACTTTTCATTGTTACCTTTATTATGCGTTGTGTTGTGTAACGTTAGTTTTGTACATAATTATAAATATATTTATAGAACTAAGAGTTTCCATACATACAGGGCAAGCCACTTGTCTAGTTAATTAACTTTTAGGGTCACGATACTGCTTACTTTCTAGCAATTTCCTATACTCCACCGTAACAGTCATCACCCCAGGAGATATGCAGAGAATTAGAAATATAAGACGCTTGAGGTAGCGACCTTGGGGCATTTGAAAAGAAAAAGATAAAAACTGACAAACAGTAAAAACGTACAAATTCATCGGAGGTAATTTCACAGTCAAGATACGGTGCTATTGGAACCGGAACTCTTAAGCTGGAATCTTGCTGAAGCTTCTCGGCACCTGAAAATTTCGGCAAAAATAACTTCCAAAATTATCCACTGCATACACCTGTGTATGTTTATTCATCGTAGTATTTACATCAAAAAATACTGAGTATCAATATCTAATTCGCATCATAAAACGCTAATGATAGAATTCTACCTCTGATTAGACATGGTTCGTCTTCAGGCCACTGAGCTGGAGAGACACCAAGTGCTTCCAGAACTTTTGCTAGTGTTTCCTAAAACAAAACAAAAACACAGAATTACTTAAATAAGCGCATCTGAAGGCTGGTGTTGCAGTGCTGGAGCAGCGCACTTGACCGGGGAACCTACTGGCAAAATTTCAGCACCAAAACTTGCTTGGTGGCTAAGCTGATTATAGCATACAAGTAATATTAAGAACTTAAATAGGGCAGGAATAGAACGAACTATGTATGTGTAGACATAGAAATATAGCTGGTGTAGGGAAAGTACGAAAGAGTTAAGACTTTTCGGTCCACTAAGTCATATACGTCTTAGCTTAACACTGTGACTGGACCTCGTCAGTATGACGGTCGCTAAGTTGAAATACCCAGACTGATACTATCGCCGCTCTAATAGTTGGATTATTAGACTAGTGTGTGCTCCGCTTGTAGGTGTATGTGTACGTGTGTGTAACACGTCGCGTCCTATATACATGTTTATTATACATAGTAAAATAAAAGGAGAATGCATAAAAGGAGGTGAGCCGAAGCTCCCCAGAATAGGAATATTAGTATATAGAAGTCGCAGCTGAAGATCGGTAGTGGAGATCCCGGCGATGGGGAAAAGTGCTTTTATACCCCGAGGGATAAAGATCGAAAGTTTAATGAGGGTAGGGTGGTTAAAGTTTGAAGCAGAGACAGGGGTACTGCATCATAGTAACGCAGTTGGTCTTTAATCCATTTTTAGCAAAAACCATTAATCCTTATTTGATATATTATGCGATAATGCACACACACAGTGACTGGAAAGAGTTGCGGGGATGCATCTTTCGCTTGGTACCATTGGCATATTAGCATTTCCGGTTTCTTCCCATATATTTTTTTCGCAACTGTTATCCGCCAATTCTTTAATCCTTCCCAAAATAAAGCTGTTTCCATTCAGTTAAAAAAGCGCCTTTTTTAAAAAAAATAACAGCCCAGCCACCTCATTGCCATCCTTCTCGTTCAGTGATAAACGCCGCATGTCGCTCTCAATCACCGAAACACAGTTCTGCTGCTCCATATTTTCGTCACTTATACGAAACCAATTTTTCAGAGCAACAAATAATCGTGCTAGCCAGGGCTCGACGTCCAATTCTAACCTAAAAATAACAAATTACATGTGAAAATAATCAAAAAAAATGACACTGTAATCTTTTATCAGACGTTAAAAGTACCCCTTTTACAGCTGGCAGACAATGGATACAAAAGGGACCCAATTTGATCGTCCGCTGCGCCCGTTTCAATTAGCTTTTTGGCACCAAGACGCGAGAGATGCTTGTCAATCAGTCGCGGATTTCCTTGATATGTCGAAAAATTCGAATCACCTAGACCTGTAATAAAAAAAAAATCTTCGCCAGTTGTGGGTACCTTGAAGTTTTGGACCGATGCTAGATTAAAACAAATTGTTCTGCTAACCAGATTTTTTTAAACGTAAAAATTTTCCACATCATCTAATATTATCTTTTTAGGAGCTATCAGTTTTGAATTTTATCGAGCAAAGTAGGAAACACCTGTGGCCCTCAATGAAAAACCACAAGGATGTTTTTTCAAGTGGAAGATCACAAGGAGGGATTTACGTACAAAAGTCACGAAAGCTTCATTTATGCGAAAGCTACGAAAAAACTGATTTAAGCAAAAGGCTACGAAGGCATAATTTGAATGAAGAGTTGGAACACAGGAGTATCCGAAGGGGGGGCGGGAGGGGGGGGAGGGGGGATGGTGAGTCCCCCAACTACATAAGCACCAGTGCTGCTGCAAAAACCCGTATCTAAAGCTAAAACTAAAGTAAATTAAACCCTAAAGTAACTCTAAGTAGCAGCAGTGTTACAACTCTATTCCTAGTTTTTGCATAATTCAAAGGTGGGAAGGGCGCCTCCTCCCTCACCCCAGGAGTCCGCCCTGCATCCACCTATATGAGCCCCAGAAAGGCACGACTTTTTTCATTTCATCAAATTTTACGTAAACATTCACGAAGATGAAAAGGTGTGCCAGATGAAAAAGGTACGATTTTTTTTCCTTAACTTTCTGGATCCACTTATATGAACCCCAAAAAGGCACGACTTTTTTCATCTCATCTAATTTTACGTAAACATTCACGAAGAAGCGATTTATGTGCCAGATGAAAAAGGTACGACTTTTTTTAACTTGTTTAAATAAAGGTTACGAAGGCGAGAATTACATGGAAGGTTATGGCAATGTAATTTTTGTAAGAGATCACAGCGAAGTGCTTTGAGCAGAAGGTCACGAAGAGATGATTTTTGTGAAAGAGCATGAAAGAATGGTTTCACGGCGATATGATGACTAAGAATTTGACTTGATTTAGGTTGCGCAGGATATGCATATGCGATATAAGTGGATGGAAAAATGGACATGTGAACAGAGGTATGCAGCCTTTAATCAACTAACTGCTCTTATTTTTGAAAAATTTAAAATTTTCTCAAAAAGCAAAAACTGACAGACTTATCATTTTAATCTCATGAAAATTAGAAAATCTGTGAGATTATTATAACGGTACTGCGAGTGGGGTACGAACCCACGAGGACTTGCGTCCACTGGAAATTAGAAAATTTGTGAGATTATTACAGTGGTAAGTCCAAAGTCTTAAGCACTCGGCTATCGCTGTACCATTATAAAAATCTCAGAAATTTTCTAATTTTAAATACTTATTATCTTTGTTCTTTTTTTTTTCTTTCTTCGCCTTATTTCATTCTTTTTTTATTAAAACCTTCTATCACTGATGAGTGAGATTACCAAGAAGAGCGTAAGTGACGTTATGTAAGCAGTCGGAAGGCAATGTACGACGTGATATGTAGCGCACAAAACGAACTGCATTTTCGGGAGGGTCGCCATCACCAGTGGACGAACATACGATCACTACGAGTGGCTCCTTTTCCAGCAAAAACTGCAAGTTCTCAGGCTTATTTTCACCAAAAAGTCTATATTTGCTAAGTGTTATCATTCAGCCTCATAGCTAAAGAATAAAAAAACCCCCCCCAATTTCCCGAACGTTTTAAACTGATTTTTTCCTAGTTTCCACACTTCACTACAGTCCTAATTCTCCTTCCTCCCTTTCCTAATTTTGTAATCACAGCAACATTTCGATTTCAATTTTCCTGTTTTCTGTGTTTCAACTCCCCTGCTTTCCTTCCTTTCCGTTTGCTCCTTCACGTTTTAACTTCTCTTCTTCCTTTCTCACTTTGTTTGCTCCTTCACTCATGTCTATTCCTTCCTCTCATCTGTCTTGCAAATTAGACACATGACTATTCAAAACATGACGGGTAGGATGCTGTACTGATGATTCCCACTCCTACCCGCATGCACTGTTCGGTCTGTGTATACAGCTAAGGAATGAAACACAGAATGCGTCATAAAATGTCTTCAAACACATGACATTCAGGTGAAATCCTTCTGTTCTTCTATTTCATGTTGCATTTTTACCTTTTTTCCGAAATCGTTTAGAACATGAACTCGTGGTTTCCACCTGTACGCATGCGCCCGATCTTCAATGATTCGAGCAATTGCTTCAGACTGTCCCGTTTCTGATCCAAAAGCAATTAAAAAATCACCATCCAGCTCCACCACCATCACTTCACATTCTATGATTCTGAAATAGCACTACTAGAAAAAATCCTAAGATTTATACCGTTCTGTCGTCGATAAACCCGCAGCTACTTTCGATCTATCGTTTTGTATCCGAAACTGTATCAGTAAAAGGACGTATTACAAAGGAATAAAATTAGAATTGGGGAAAATGATAAGAATAAAAAAGAAAGGCAGGAAATGAGAAATAGAAAATTAAAAAAGTTTGTAAAATTAGCAAAATTATTATAAACCCAGGCTTGTCTCCTTCTGCTGCAGCAGTGATCCTGGCTCCGCATTCCTCCGCTTTCTTCGCTTCCCGCAAAAAATACTATATGTACATCTTTCCTGTTCCTACCAGCGGCCAGGACTGTCAGGAAACATCCCTTCAAAATTCCAGTTTTCTAGCTTCTCACGTCCCTGAGTTAGCAACTTACCCGAAAGAAACCTTCACGGACCAGTAAGTAGGTACCACACCTACCCGCGGGCAGGGTTTGAGCTCCTTAATACCCGCTCGGACGGGGAACTTCGCCCTGAGATTTCAGCTTTCTGGCTTCTCAGATTCCCGAGTTATGAACTTACCCGTAAAAAACTTTGGTGGGCCCGGTCACGGTACCACGCGGGTAAGGGCGCCCATTTTGGGGATTGAAGCCGGCACATGCATGTAGATTAAGTTCCCAAAATTTCGGCCCTGCAGCTTTTATAGATTTTGACATGAAAAATCGGGACAGACGCACACACAGACACACGGACACACAGAAAACCGTTCGTCAATATGCGTTTTCTGCATTGCATAGCTGCATAAAAATGCATAAAAAGGCGAAAGGGGAGTGTAAAATTATACTGTAATTGGTAAGAAATGTTTCAGTCCATTCCTCGTGTACTTTACTCACATTTTAAACTTTCGGCTCATGCGTTACTAACTTGTCCGCAACGATTTCATAACCTGTAACAAGAAATAAAACAGAATGAAGCATACTAAATGTAATTAAGTGAAATTGTTGATGGAGGAGTGACTAAAAATTGTATGTGTATGTGGGACGTTGAATGGGAGGAGTTAGAATTGGGTTTTTTGAAGAAGGTTAATGGAAAGAGAGGTAATGATGAACTAGTAACTGTAACGACTAGTACTGACCACTGATAGAAGGTCAAAAGTCAAAACCACTTGGATGGACAATGGCCTTGAATTAATCGATTACTGAAAACACACTTTCATAAGTCGGGCATGGCTATGCCACTCTCGCAATGAAACGAGAAAAAACAATTGTTCAGCGAACATCAATCAAACACACCTCAACCAAAAACCTGTTTTTTACAGCCCCATTCCCCAATGTGGACCAATGCCTGGTCGGGTCGCCAATTACAGCGCTTACACTTTGACCCGCGCGATTGCTAAAACTCGGCTCGGCCGCGCAAAATGCACTCGTTTTTGAGTTCGGGTGGAGACTTGGGGAGGGCCATGGTACGGGGTTTTTTGTCTAAAATTTCAGATGTCGCGCTCGGGCTTGCTAATTGCTTTCCGGCACTAAGTTCCTTGTTCACTTTTACCTGCGATTGCTAGAACTCGGCTCGGCCGCGCAAAATGCACTCGTTTTTGAGTTCGGGTGAAGACTTGAGGGG